ATATTTTCATACTCCAATTATTTTCTTATGAAGTTTACTGTTGTTCTGGTCATTCTTGTTTATGTTCTTTTGCCTTTGCTCCTTCTCTCTGCTATTTCCTCTGACTTTCTTTCATCTTTTTTTGTTGTTGTCTCTCCTATGGATTTCTCTATCCTCTTTTTCCTTTCTTACTCTCATTTCCTCTTGTGGTACAAAATAGTGATGATAAAATTATTCTGCTTTTTCTATGAAATCCAATCTATGTCTTTGCTCCATCCAGATCACCAATATTCCCTCCGGTGTAAACCATCTAAAGTTTACTCCATTCTTAATGAACTGTTTTGTCAAAAATTGATATTCCCTTCTTATTTCTCTTACTCTTCTGGGGATCTGTTTTAGGACTACTATTTTTTTCCTTTGTACTTTAAGGGGTGATCCCTTGCTCTTTGTAGTATCTCTGCTTTTATTGCCTTTTTGTGAATCTCACATGTACCTCTCTGGGGAATCTGTTTCTTGTTGCATATCTATTATAAACTCTAAATATTTCACCCATCTCGGTGAACACCTTTTCTTTGGGTGTCTCTAAGGCATTTGCCATTATCTCTGCCAAATTTTCTCCTTTTTCTTCTTCAATATTTTGAAACCACAAGTAATAATCAGCCTTATCCATCTCAAATAATATTATTGTTCTCTCCTGACTTTTATTTGCCAATGTAAGTCTGTGGTCAACCTCTTCCACTCTTTTCTGTTTGTTCAGCTTTCTCTTCCACTTTCTGAATATGTTGTTCATTTTTAACCATTATTTGTTGAAGATTTGCCATTTTACCTCTACTTTTTCTATTTTTTTCTTGATGTCTTCATGCATGGGTTGAATCATAGATTTCATCTCTGACTGCATCGTATTCATTTTCTCTTGCTGCAACATAGTGACCAATGATCTGCTGGACTAGATGCTGCTGATGCTGATGCTAAAGATGGCACAGATGTAGTTTTCTTCATTTTAGGATGCTTTAATAAATTTAAACCAATTATTGAAAATAATAATTACAATATCCCAACAGCCCCAGTATTGACCACCAACTTCCCTATCCAATTTCCCCTTTTACAAATCTATTCAAGAGTCAGAGTATTCAATGTTAGAGTCCCTTTCTCCTTCTTCCTTATTCTTCTTCTCAATCTCCAGACAATGTTGAATACAGCTCATCAGTCTAGAACCCACATTATGTATCTGATATTAACACAGTGGAGAAAGTCCAGAAATATTTCACAAGAAGAGTTTTTCACTCCTCTACTCGTTGCAGAATACCTTATGTCACCAGACTTGAAATTCTAGACCTAGAAAACCTAGAACTACACCACCTTCGGTCCGATCTAAGTATAGTATATAAAATTATACATTGCAGTGTCCTACCTGTCAATGAATACTTCAGCTTCAACCATAACAATACAAGAGCAAACAATGATACAAACTCAAGGTTAATTGCACCAAACTTGATTGCAGGAAATATGACTTCAGCAACAAAGTGGTCAATGTCTGGAATATTCTACCTGACTCTGTGGTTTCTTCCCCAAACCCCAAAAACTTTAACCTTAGACTTTCTACTATTGACCTTGCCCCTTTCCTAAGAGGTCTGTAGGGGGCATGCATAAGCGCACCAATGTGTCTACCATCCCTGTCCTATTGTTTCTTTTATTTTTTTATATGTATCCATGTATTCATAACTATGTTTTTACTTATACCTATTATCTTGTGAGCAATTGACAAACCAAATAAATAAAAAATAAATAAAATGTCACTTTTTTAAAACTTGTAATCCCAGAGGCATGTAATTATAATCCACAAAAAGAAATGAGACTATTATTTGTAATCCAAGAAAAAAGTAAAAATATAAATTGTAATCCAAGAATTATTAGACTACTTAGCCCCTTCATTCTTCAAAAAACGTTCTCTTCTTCTCTTGTAAAATTTGTAATCCACATAGGCCCACCAAGCCACAGAATTCAATCACCAACTTCTTATATCTTCAAAGGGAGAATTCAGAGCAAAAAGTAAAAGAAAAGGAGAATATTTTGCTGTTTTCACCTTCTGTTCACTTTATTTGTTTAGCTTCTGCTTGAGTCCCAAGAGCTGCACTATTTTAAAAGGTCTCAGTATTTCACTCTGTCTCAGGTATCTAGCATAAACAGCTTACTGGTGCAAGTGTTATTAATTTTAACAGCCAACCTTTATCTTCTTCAGCCTCTCAAGGTTATATTTTCTTTTATTTCCTCCCTTGTGCCCTCAACTTCTGCCAGCAGATGTCACTGTTGTACTGCTTCTCTCCCTTCTCTTCCTTTTTATTTTATATTGCATTAACCAATCCAGGTTTTTCAAAAGAAAAAAATTCTCTAAGTCCAAATTTTATAATTCCCAAAAGCTTCCAAGTTAGACAATGTTATATTTGAGGTCCCCAGTCCAGCTTTCTAGTTTTAAAGTTCATTCACTCTTTTAAAAAATTCTCTTATCTTCTTTCCAGCTTTAAAAATGGCTCTCAGGCTTGCTTGCCGCTTTTCTTGGGAGGTGGAAGGAAAACAATTCCACTTCCTCTTTTTTGGGTCCCACTCTCACCCAGGCTAATTTCCAGGGGGTTCGTTTCTCAATAGAAGTTAGATGTTAGAATTCTCTCACCCAGATCGTTCACACTGTTCCCCACACTTTCATGCTTTCTTCATCGGTCAGCTGTCACCAGGGGTGGGATTCTACCGGTTCTGTCCAGCTCTACAGAACTGGTAGCTCTGAAGAGCAGCAGACACAGAACCGGTTCTATGTCTGCTGCTGTTTTGGCCCATCTGCCCTCCCGGGCCCTTACCTGTCCTTTATTTCCTACTTTTTCAACCGCAGCTGCTTTGTGCGGCACAGCTGCAGTTGAAAAAGCAGGAAAAAAGGGCTTTTCCAACCACTGCACACCCGCATGCAGCGCTGCTCAGCTGTCCAGGCAGCTCAGCAGGTCGTAAATTGAACTTGCATGACTCACGCATGCGCACGTGATGCAGAGCAACAGAACTGGTAGTTATACCAGTCGGATCCCATCCCTGGCTGTTACAGCTTCAATCAGGCTGTCTTTTTTTCCTGCCAGATTGAGAGCCTTCTCCAGATTGATCAGGGAGTTTGTGGACTTCCTGAGATCAATGGAGTGTGCTCTCTTGCTTCATCACCCCTCTGAGGTGATTTAGGTCCATCAGAACCTCCTTGTAGTTCAAATTATGTGTTGGGGCTGTGATATGTGCTGAAACTGACCAGGCTGCTTGCTGCAAGGGCGCTAGCCAGATACCAGATGGATGCTGGGAGGCAGAGGCAGATTTTTTTTCTTGTTTTCCTCCTCCTCCTCCTAATGTGCAACTTATAGCCCGGGCGTCTTACAGTGTGAAAAATATGGTATTTCCGTACCAGATTCCTCAATGCCTTCACAAATGGCATGGCTTGTAATGTACTTGAAAAGTTTTTTTTAAGATTCAAGGAAATATTCAGAGATGTATTGGCTAATTCTTCTTGCTGTCAGATTTCTCCTTAATTCTATATTGTTTCTCCCCTTGATTAGTTTCCATCCATTCTGGTGCTTTGGAAAATAGATTGACCCCCTCTTCTTTGGGAAGATGCCAGGATTCTCTGTCATTCCCTGTCTCCCAGAGTTTGCTCAAACCCATGTTCATTGCTTCATTGACACTCTCTAACCATCTTGGAAATAGCCCATGTTGAATATATAGCAAACATCAGGAGCTGACCAGAATAAATGTTTTATGATATTTTGTATTATGTCATAAACTGTTTTATGATACTGTTATGTTGTAAAAAAAAATGTTCTACAAAATTTGCCAAATTTCAATTCCACAGGAGTCATGGGTCCCAGATTTTGGAGGCATTCTGTAGTTAGCTCATTTGAGGTACTTTGGTTCAGAATGTTTCACCTAAAGGTTACATATATGATAATTTTAGTAGTATATAAATTAAAAGTTTTGCATTTAGCATTCTGAAAATATGAAGTTGCCTTATAATTGGTATACCTGGCTTTATTTTGCCTATTGACCAGTGATGGAGTATAATGGTATTTTTATAAGGAGATAGACATTCAGTTTCAAACAAGTAGGACATTCCTCCTGTATCAGTTAAGAGACTAGCCTCCTCATCAATTCACACAGGAACCATGAATAAGACACTTTCATCTATTTAAGTTTATATCTTAGGAACCTTGAAAATAAATAGAATGAGGGGGGTGGAGAAGTGAAACAATCCAGGTGTTGAGATTTCTCTGCTACCTTCTTTCAATAGATCTTGGATAAAACACTCTGGAAGTATCTTGCTTTCCATGAGGGTGTATGGCTAAGAACTCAACCTCATTTTTAAATAGTCATGGGTAGATCCCTTCATGTTTTCCAATCTAGAGATGTCTGGGGCTAAGAATGGGACATTCTATCTGCTGTACAGTAAGATACAATGCCCCTTTATTTGGCGAGTATGTTTATTATCACTGGTAGGTGGGCTTGTTTGCCTAATGAATGTTACACAGAAAAGATAGCAGTGAAAAAAATTGAACTAAAATCAGGAAATACAAGGACCATTACACATCTAAGCAATTATGTATGACCATTACACATCTAAGCAATCTGCAAGGATGGTAACTAAATCAGAGTAAGTTATGAGTAGCAAAGAATGTATTGTACATCTATTCCCAATACCTTGCTAAAAATGCAGGCTGCAGAAGTCTTCAACCATATCCTCCCAAACAGATTGATAAAAAAAATGGCCATTATAACTTTATAATGAAAAGAAGACATTCAATGGTTCCTATCTGTGTGCTAATATTTTCTTTAGATCCAGGAATCTATGTATCATCAGAAGCTGCAATTGTAAATAATAAGTAAATGGAGTAAAATGCTACATAGGAATTGCTATTGTTCAGTTACAAGTGTAACAAAACAATTTAATATATGGTAATCTTTCTATAAGTTGACAAAGATGATTTTAGTTATGGAGAGGAACTTACCGCAAGTGGCCAGCTGATGCAAGTTAACTTTCGATAGGCTCTAAAGATGTAGACAATGTAAAAAATGAAGATCATAATTAAGTCATATATGCAGACAATTTCAACGTAGCTGTATGAATTGTAATTTGTCCATGGTGAAGATCTTACACAAATGAACCCAATCAGCAACAATAACTGTAGGAGAAATAGAACAAAACAAGAAGTTTGTATAAAGAATGCATGAAAGACTACAACTCCAAGAATAATAATTCAGAGTTAACAATTTTGAAAAGGAAAAAAAATCCAGCTAAAAGACTAAAAATATTCAGAACTAGAGAAGAGAAACCATTCAAATACTTCCAAATTTGAACGTTTAGTGAATTCATTCTATCTAGTGCTCATTCTGAACTAAAAGAGTGTGCTCTAAAAAGTAATCTACAGTAGTTATAAGTTATTCTTAGTTGATTTATGACCATAATTGAGCCTGCATTTTCAGTTATAAATCATGATAGTCATAAGGTAGATCATCACATGACTGTGCCTGATTTTATGACATTTTCTGTGAGGATCATTAAGCATACACATTATTTGCGATGGGACATTTTTCACCAGAAACAGAAAATAAATTCAGAACTCTGGGAACAACATCATAAATTGCAATTGTGTCATCATGGACACTGCAAATGGCCAGATGTTGAGTGACCAAAATGTAGTCAAGCAACGAGTTGTAAGTCAAGGACTACCTGTAGTGGAAATAATAAGTTAGAAATAAAGAAATACATAATTAGTAATAGGAACTAAGTAATGTACCTCAATGTATTAAACTATGTTTTGAGTTTCCTAGAAAGCAATAATGAGAATATTTATTTTTGTGAATAATAAAAAAATAAAAAGCACAACATAGTAAAGTTGTAAAGCGAGAGAGGTTGTTGAAGATGATAAAAACTCATTGGCATTTATAAATTTCTTAAGAGTAGAGATGATACGGGTATCCTTGACTTACAACAGTTCATTTAGTGACCGTTCAAACTTACAGCAACACTGAAAAGTGAAATGACTGTTTTCACACTTACAACCATTGCAGCATTCTGATCATCACATAATCGAAATTCAGATGCTTGGCAATTGACTCATGTTTATGACAGTTGTAGTGTCCTGCGGTCAGGTGATCCGTTTTTGCAACCTTCTGAAAAGCAAAGTCAATGGGAAAGCAAGATTCACTTAACAACCGTTAAGTGAATAACTATGGCAAGGGAAGTTATAAAATGCGGGAAAATTCACTTCTATTAATTTCTTAATAGAAATAAATTTCTGTTTCTTAGGAATAGAAATTTTGGGCTCTATTGTGGTTGTTAAGTCAAGGACTACCTATATATAGACTGTAAATATGTATGTATGCATGTAGTAAGCCGCCCAGAATATTTGCATTAAAAAAGGCAGGCTCTATTTTTAAACATCAATAAAAATTAATACATTTTACTATTCTTTACCTGGGAGAAAATCTCATTAAACTCTGTGAGATATACTTCTAAGTTGGCCAGTAGAAAATTTATTTATATAGTGCTGTAACTAAACTTTACAGTTCAGCTTTGGACCTGAAGACAAAAAGTGCTTCTGAATTAATGGGGGAATCTGCATGTAGCACTGATATGCAGTTTTTAAAATCAATTGAATCTTTCTACCTTCTGAATCTCACTTGTCTTTGAGTTTGAAAAGATGGAGTGAACTGTGAAATATGTTAGATCATTTAAGGCATAGAGAGCAGGACTACCAGAACAAAGCAGCAGCAACAGCACTCTTAAAATAGAAAAAGAGTGACTGTTCAATCCATTATCATTAGCACAAGCACTGAAATCTGAAACAATTGCATGTTTTAATGAATCACACAACACATGTGATAAAATAAACTGGTTAAGAAATGACTGATTTAACCCGAGAATAACTGCATTGTTTTAAATATGAAAATATATTCATGCACCCAACTTTCCCCAATCTAATGCCATCCATAAGTTTGAGGATTCCAATATTTCTGGCTTGAGTATTCTTGCAGTTTTGGCTCCAAACTCTAGTGTTTAGAAAGTCTGGTTGGGAATAACATGAAACATGGAAAATTCAATGTATTTTTAAATTTTTTTACTGCTTAAGCAAGAAGTTAAGTAGCTTTCCCCATTTTATGAGCTCATAAAACAGGGCTAAAACTAGCAATAGAAATGTTTGGCTGAATTGTGGTCATAAATTGAGGACTATATAATAAAATATATAATAAAATTCATGGAAATCCTAACTTTACTGCTAAGAGCTTTATATGAGATTTTAAGTTTCATCGATCCTGCAAATTTAACAAAATTCAACTTAGTGAAAAGTGAAATTTTCGTTCTCTTAGAACACCACACATGCTCCATAATTCTCAGTTAACATGATAGTAATGCAAAATTGTCTTCAGAAAAAGTGGGGCATTCTATTATATTAAAGAGCCTATCGAAGAATGGCTGAGATCAAAGTGACTAGATGGACATATTTTCATATATTGTGACTTTATCTTCTTCCAAGATTGTTATTTAAATCTCTCCATCCAATTCATGAGTTTTTCAGATGCTTTCATTCAAAAGCAATCATCGCAAATCCTGCTTAACTTTTTCATGATAGGTAAAGTTAGTTAGATGCTGCCACTTGATGTGCATATTTTATTAGAGGAATTAAAAACAATTGAAAGAAGTGGGAATCTGAAGAAACCTTGAAGAGACTGAATTTAACTCAGGACACATAGCAATATGGATTTTCAATAGAAAATAATAATGCGATAACTACAATTTTCAGCAGTATATAATTTCTAGATCTTCAAATGCCTGGTCTGTGACCATAAGATACTGAATTCTTTAAAATGCCAAGAATGGTGTTTCTTTAGATTTTGCAATGCTTTTAAAAAATTTTGTTTAGTTTAGAGGAAGTGATTGACTGTAAAATTAGTCACTTTCTAGTTTTCTTTGCAACAGGAAACAAATATATAAACTTCTTGTTTTAACAACAAGTTGAACGATAACAATCAGAGAAAATTACTAGTAATTTTATTCTACTGACAAATTATTTTGGGGGATAATAATGATTTGTTAATGCAGAAACTTTCAAATACTATAAGTTTTCAAATGTTGTAAATAAGATCAAACAAATTTCTGACAAGCATAGCAGGCATCTTTGTCTCACAAAAATAGAGAAGGGAAATAAAGGGTGAGCCATACTAGATTTATTCTCACTAACAGAGATTAAATTATAGAAGGTGATGAAGTTACAGGAACTGTGGGGAGAGGAGTCACCATGCAATATTGAAATTCAACTTTATGCAAGCTCAAGCAAAGCCAGACTAGAGACTTCAGAAGAGCTGATTTCAATAAATCTATAAAGAGCTTGGGAAGACTTGGGAAAACCCCAAAAACTTTAACCTTAGACTGTCTACTATTGACCTCACCCCTTTCCTAAGAGGTCTGTAGGGGGCGTGCATAAGCGCACCAACGTGCCTACCGTCCCTGTCCTATTGTTTCTCTTATTCTTCTTTTATTTTTCTTATATGTACCCATTTCATGTATTCACAACTATGTATACACTTATACTTATTATCTTGTAAACAATTGGCAAATCAAATAAATAAATAAAAATAAAGAGCTCATTCCATTGATGAGAATTCTTAGGGGAAAACAACCGGCAAAAGCTTGGGAAACTTTGAAAGTGAGATTGTAAAAGCAGAAGAAGAAAAATAACAGCTCTCAAAAGAAACCATCATAGCTGCATAAAGAACTCTCTGATAAACTGAAAGACAAAAAATGTCTTTTTTTGTATTAAAAGTAGAAAGAAAACCTAAGGCTCAAAATGAACTAGTTTGCGACAAAAATAAAATTGCTTCTTTTGGTTTGTATTTGGTTAAGATGGCAAACGGTTTCAAAGAAATATATTTTATTTGGTCTTGTTTATGGCTTCTGGTTTTTAGTCTTGAAATAAAAAAATGAAATTAGAATTTAGTTTGAAAATTTAATAATTGTAGTTACAGAACTGATTTGTAATAATTGTAAGTAATGTAAAAAGTTGAAGTTGTAATTGTAGCAGTATTTTACTGCATTGGAAATAGTAAGAAGTCAACACTTTTTTTCTTCAGTCTTGCCCATTCTGTACCCACCTTTTTAAATCTTCATTTTCACTGTATTTTATGATATAATAAAACTTTACTTATATACTGTACACGGATCTATGCAAGACATCAAGCTCCAGCACATCAAGTCAAGCATTAATCAATCAATAGAACATCACACATTCTCCTTATTTACTGTTCAATTTCTACTTTTTTCACACAGGCTTTTTAGTTCCTCTTTATGTTGTATTTATTACATTTGGCAGTCAACATTCAACTTCATATTTGCAGAGAATATTCTACACTGCAAAATGCATTTTCTAAATCCACTGCATCATATGCATTCTATAAATTGACAAATGTTGCCATTTTCCTCGCATTAGCCCGTTAAAACAGCACTGAAAAAAGTGATATGACTTAGATCTAACCATACTGGCTAGGCAAGACATAGTTAAACATTCCAGAGCAGGGGTCGCCAACCTTTGGATCTCAGGGACCACCAAACTCATACTTTTAAATCCTGAGGACCACTAATACGAATTGTTTTAAAAG